ACCAACCAGGGGAATCAAACCGTTGACTTAGTCATTGATGAGACCTTTCGGTTTGGTTTACATATACAAACCAGGAAAAATTACGGAAAAAAAAAACGTATCATACCTCTAATTTTTATAATTTTGTGGGTATTTTTATAAATATTTTTACAACAAAAAAATTTATAACTTTTATGAGTATTTTTATAGTTTTTGTGGTAGTTTTGCGATTGACTACATTATTTTTAGTTCAATAGTCAGGGATATTCAAGTCAATTTATGCGTACTTCGATTAATTTTTTTGCGATCTGGTCAAAAATAGGTTATTCAAATTAAGATTAAAGTATTCATAAAGAATAAATTATTTATTATTACGTAATTCCAAAAAATTGTCAAAATTCAATACGAGAGTATGAGTTTATAATTCGTCATTTTTTTTATTACGCGAGCTATGCCGCGATTACCGTAGAATTCTTCATACAAACCAAGATGGTACCAATTGCTAGCCATACGGCAGGTGGACGGGTCACCATGTGATTTCACCTGGGAATAAAAAACGAACCAAAATTTATACTTGTTGTTTCACACGGTAAAGTTGACAAGTCCCCTAACATAGCTGTATAAGGAGGAGTTGTCTTAATGGTAAATAGCAAACCTCACTTTACACTATGTCCAACTACTTTATCGAAAAACTAATTTTTTTTTTTTTTTTTTTTTTAGTGTGCGGCTTATTCTTGTGGCTTGGGGAGGCTAGTCCTTTTTTGTAGATTTATTTTGGCGCAAGTACACTCAAAAATTTTATTTAGGAATAAGTCTATTTTGATTTTTATTGTCTAAAATACCCTTAATAATTATATTTAGTCAAAACATATTTAAAAAAATTAACAACTTCTAAATTAAGAATTGTATTAGTATTAATAACTCATATTTTAGAAATTGTACTAGCATTAAAATTATATATATATATATATTAAACAGTAACACGCTTTACAAAAAATTAGTAACATCAAACAATAACATGTTCAATAAAAATTTAATCGTTGTAATAGAGTGACATCCCCATAACAGAATAAATACTTACATATAGTGTGACTCTATTGTCATGATTAATTTTTTAATTAAGTTTTTTATTGAGCGTGTTATTGTTTAATGTTACTATTTTTCTGTTGAGCGTGTTACTGTTTGGTATTATCATTTTTTTGCTGAGCGTGTTACTGTTTAATATTACTATATGTGTTTGTGTGTGTGTGTGTTTTGGATATATGTTTGCTTGCTTCTTAAGAATTATTCATTTTCAGTTTAATGCGAGTTTAGACTTTCAGTTTAGTACGTGTTCAAGTTCAGTACTTGATTATTTCGCATTCAAATTTAATGTTCCATTTGTTTAGTTGTACTATGTCTTTAGACATGGGTTCTCCCTAGTATGTATGTGTGTGTGTATATATATATATATATATAAATTAATGTATATATGAGATAGAAAAATAATATATATATGTGTGTGTGTGTATATATATACATATACATACGAGATGGAAAATTAATTTTAATATTAGCACAATTTTTAAGTTAGGAATTGTTATATTTTAAAACATTGAAACTAACAATAATAGATAATATTTATGGCAAGAGTAATTATAGAATACATTTTAAAAAGAATTTGAAATGTTTTAAAATGTGTACTTATTGACAACTATTTGATGAAAAAGAGAATTTAATGGAATATAAATTTGAAGGTAGTATTTAAAGTCAAATAAGTTCTACAAAAGTTATTCACAGCCAACTATCTCCTTATTTTTCTCCCTTTAGAATTATAACATGTGAAATATGTTCTATATTTTATCATTTCACTTTATTTCATTGTTTTCAAGATCAATGGTTACAAATAAACCAACACAAGATCTAAGGCTAAGATCTATTTTTCAGCATGATATGCACATTTTATTGTGGGTAGCATAATCTTATCCTTATTTAGGTTTTCATTTAGAGGTTTAAGATTTGAGTCCCATCAGGTAAAATATTTATTTTCTAGGAATATATTAGGAACACCGATGTATTACTTTAAAAAAAACTATTTAGAAACACGAATGTAAACTATTTAGCGAATAGGAATATATTAGGAACACGAATGCATTACCTTAAAAAAAGGGAAAATTTTCAAAAACTTTCCAAAAAGTTATTCAATTCCCCAAAAAAACCCAAATTCGTTTGGTTTATTTAGAAGTCCAAAAGTATAATTTTGTATACCGTAAACCCAATCGTTTGATCTACAATAAGTAAATCAAAAAAATTTCTCATTCTAACAAGGATGACTCTGATTTTAGATACTGACCCTAATAGAATTACATCGTGTTATTTCGAGTTAGTATATTTATATAATTGTGAATTGGAATTTTAGAACTCATATTTCTTTCGATCCAATCCATCATATGAGTTAAACATATAAAATGATAATGTTAAAACTCAAAAGCATGAGACAATTACTTGAACTGAGAAGCTCAGGGTTTAGGAACAACGACTTGTGAGTATGAACAGTGTGTGAGAGATTGATGGGTGGCTGAGCCTGGAGGCTCTATAAAAAGCTACAAGAAACGTAGAACAGAGATGAAAACTAGAGCATGAGAGAGAACACACAGACTATAGTGATTTATCAGTTGAAGAATTTTGTTAATTCACTCTAATAAAGTCTCTTGTTCTTTGGAATGTTTTCTATTGTTTAGAGAAGAAGATATGTATAATTTATATCCACATGTGAGGTGGTTCTTACGTCATCACCACATGATCCCCGATTTGTTAGGAAAATTTTTGGTCGTTATAAGCTACATTTCCCAAGTAAAATGTAGTCTTTTAGAACATGAAGAGGTGGCAGAGATCCCTCTCTAAGTTTGGATACGCTATGATCTTCCATAGCTGTGAAAGCTCAAACGGCTTAAATAGACATCTTATTCCTTTGGTGGATAAAGGAGTTTGTTACGTGACCTGAGCTAAAAATACTGTACTTCTTCATGATGTGATATAGACGGTCTGGATACCTTTATTATATGAGGTCGCACGTGGATGACCTAAACACTTTTAACTGAACTGGATGTGCAACTGGATGTAGGGTGAGAGACATCGTTATTAGACCCTTGCTGAAAACGAGTTATGGAGATAGCCTTTCACTCATTTTCGCCATTATTTGTGGTATCATAATAGAAAAACATTGTAAGACTCCGCTGCCGGTTTCTTTTCATACACAACTCATTAGAACCAATAATGTATAACGTCAAGCTATACATGGTCCGAAGTTTCTCTTTCCTCTAAATATAGACTAATGCTTAGCATAGACCATTTCAACCAAAACCACCCCTAAATATATTCCACCGGAGGAACCAAGAAACGTGGACTGCAAACGCCCTGGTCTGGTCTCCATCTAATCAGAACCGTACATGAGTGTAGCTGTTCACCCTTCTTCACAAGCAAATGGTTGCTTATGGATAAAATATTTTACATACCAACATGCTCATATTCAATACAATTACATATATATTTAGAGAGAGAGAGAGAGAGAGAGAGAGAGAAGGGTCTTCTGTATAGGAAGATTTAGAGGGTTTCTGTTTCTGGGTTTGTTGTGGTTTTGATAGATTTTGTCCTTTTGGTCATTCAATACAGAGTTTATAGCTTATAATTGAGGTGGATGGGTCAATGTGTTTCTAGGCATGCAAAAGATAGAGAAAGGTGGGATGGTTCCAATGCCTCGGAGAAGCATGGTTGTTTGGCCATGGTTAAAGAGAAACGGTCCAAATTTTACATTGCCAAGAGATGTGTTATCATGCTAATTTTTTGGCACAAACACAGCAAGATTTGATCCTCCTTTTTTCTTATTCAGTATATTTTTCATTTTTAGTTGATCATGGATATGCAAATTGCAGTTGTTTTCACAGATTCGGGACCACAAGTGATGTATAGCAAGAGTTTGTTTGTACAAACGATGCATCGCAGTTTGAATCTAGAAATTAATCTCCTCCAAAACAGAGTAAATTTATCTTCCACTAAATAGCGTTGCTCATAGGCTTTTTGCCTTTGTATTGGTTGCAATTTCTTTGTTTTTTTTGTAATTTTTACCATTAGATTTTCTCTTATTTCAATTTTTCTTTTAGTTTTGTTGAGGATGTTTGAGAGGATATGTTGTAGCTAGATAATTTGTAACGGTACGTGAAGGTTCAAAGTTTCAATTATCAGACAATTTCACGACATTTGTCGATGTGGGTTACAGTTATAGCTTAGCACATTCTTGTTGGGAGTAATGTGTATGTTTGTGTGTGTTAAGATGCAAGTATAAACCTTTTTCATGTGAATGTTCACGACCATATGTATGTTTAATTCATAATAATGACAACATAGGATCTGTATGCTTGTGATGATGGCATTGCATTATGTTTGTGCAAACATACTCATTAACTATATGATATTTCTTGGGAGTTTTTTGAAAGTTGTTTAATCGATAGAGCATTTTTTTTTCTTTAACTGTCAAGAAAAAAGAGAGTGGAAGAGCTCTTGGAATGGAGCTTCCTCCATTTCTCCTGCTTTTCATAAGCTTTGGTTTTAGGACTGGATTGTACGTAGCAAGTAGTGCGTCAACATGTGTATGTGCCAAATATATCAACTATAAAGTGAATTGTGATCACTAGACCATGAAACAAACTTATGCTATTCCTTAATAGTTAACCAGACATCGTACATGACATTGTGATATGCTCAATGTAGGTGCAAAATAGAGCTATTAATAAGATAAAAGAAAAGCCATTGATTCAATAACCCATGTACATGATAATTACGGCACAAATCGTATTGAAATGAGGTGCTTATCTTGCATCCAAACTTGTGGGCAGTCTCATCTATATCATCTCTTCAACGTGTATTCCTAGGCTAATTCATACTAAGAATTGAACTTACAGGTACAGATGTACTGCAGACATGAGTCCATGCTGGTCATCAAAGCAATTGGCCAGCGGTCATGCTAATGTGAGTTGAGTTTTCCATCAGACCAGTTTGGGGTGGCTGGGAAACTGTTTCATCAGCTTGATGAGCTCATAAGTCCTTGTGTCTCGACCAGAATAAAGGCAAAGGTCCAGTGGGGTTAAACCATCCTGGAAGAAGCAAATATTTAATTAACGCTTCGTGCATATAAGGTAACACAGTGCAACTCATCACTTCTTGCAATTTATATAGATCAATCACATTGAAACACAGGCAAAATTAGGATTGCAAAGTTAAAGATTACGGAAGTATTGCCTCTCAATTCCAGAAAAATCGATAAAAATAATTTCTGATCAAGAAATAAAATGGACAATGTTCAGATATTGCTGTCCAAAAATTTCTGTGGGCACAAATTCTGTACAATTATCTAGTCGAACATTTTTTTTTTTGAAAGGATTCCTAGGTATAGCAGCATGGCACCGCTGTTATTGTTCCCCAAATCCTATCCCGAGACGATTACAATCAAATGGAGATAGTATAATTGTTCATAATTGTACACCTTGTCTGCCATGTTCACAAAGGAAGACAACTGTGAACGCAAACTAACAATCTTGAACAACAAAATTGACAGTAGTTTACCCGGTTTTTTAAGGTCTTATCAGCTCCCTTGATTAACAAAAGCCTCACAATATCTGTTCTGCGGGATTGAACAGCTACATGTAATGGCGTCCACCCATCCTAAAGAGGGCAAATACAATGGCATGCCAATTAAATCACATAAATCAGACAAAGAAGCATAAAAAGCAAAGGGACTAATTAGCTATACATTGTCCGCGAGGTTTATGTCAACATTATACAACAGAAGAATTTTTATCATCTGACTTGATGCCGTGTGGACAGCATAGTGCATCAAGGTAGCCCCTTCCTGTTGTTGGCAAAAAAAAATAAAATTTGAAAATTAGAGTAAGAAGTGAAAATACCAATGGTGATACCAACATTCCAATTAACTGAGCAGTGGAACTTGAATAAGTGCTTATATTTGAGTGCAGAAGTTAAAATCAGCTTTATAGCCAAATATAAGCCTCCCAGAGCTGATAAAAAAAGATACTCCAAAACAAGAATATTATGTTTGCTTAGGTATAGCATGGAAGGACTAAAGAACAGAAAGCTTCCACTTTAATCGAGGAGCGACTACTGTTTGAAGAGTGATTCATTTTGCTGAAGATAATGAAGACACATGCACCCCAGTCACATAAATACAATAACTAAAAACCGGCAAAGTTTTCAGAAGCAGATTCCAACTTCAGCTACTGAATAAAAAAAAAATTGACGATGGCTTTTATGGTTGTGCCTTACCAATATCCATGCTAGCACCTAGAATGTGCCTATGCATAAATTGAAACAAAAGAGTATACAAGATGATAGCTAATCCTCGTATCAAGGAAAAATAAAACAAAAACGAAAACGAGTTGTGATATTCACGATTAACATCGAAAAGGATTCGGTAAAATCCTGCTCACCTTATCGCGAACAAATGGATTTGCCGATTCTCTCAAAAGATAATTAAAAATAGCATGCTTTTTGCAAAGAATTGCTTTGTGAAGTGCAGTCAATCCTTCCTGTGAATAAATTGACAAATCAAAGCACAGACCAACCATTATAAAGCAATGCATTTTCGATATCCAAAAAATGAAAAAAGAAAACATGAAAATGAGAAATAACAATAATTGCAAAGGCATAATATACAAAAAGGCAATAGGAATTGCATTAATCATCCAATATACCTTGTCTGGGACATTGACATCACTGCAGTGCTTCAACAAAACATTGACAAGGTAAAATTCTCCAGATGCAGCAAGAGTGTGCAAAGGTTGCCATTTGCCCTAAATGATTTTGACAAACTGCTGTCAATAAACAGAAAAGCTCGTGTTCATTTGTCAACTGGAGTACCAGCCTACGTGTAATTAAAATATTAGGAACAAACGATTCTGCATGAGGAAAATATTAAGAAACGAAGTCATGTGCGAACAAAAGGTAAAAAAAACATTACTCCATATCAAACACAGGCCACACCACTGTTCAATTAGAAAGGATGCTGGTTAAGAACTGAAAAATAGTCCCTTGATCAAATTATGGCAATTGTCATTGTCATTATCCTTTCTATAAAATAACGTATAGTAATAATTACTATGCCATACTAAAACACTGCAAGCATAAATAGCTTTTTAATTGTACCCTATGGTATCTGAGAATCCAGTCATTTAACCCAAATCAAAGATTGCATAACTAATTATGCCGGATCAGCTATACAAAATACAAACTAACCATAAGACCACGAATAAAAGAAAGGACAACAATTACCGCTGTTCAAAGATCATGGGAGACTTACAGAGGTGGCAGCAGCAAGATCAGGTATCCGCCTATTCAATAAAGTTTTTTCGTCCTTTGTAAACAACTTACGAGGACCTATTCATGTAAGCATAACATGATAAGATATTGATAGGCAAAATTCAAGATCATTTCTAAATAGATAAACAAACATACCAACTTACATTACTAAAGAGATCTGTATGAGATGCGGGGCTATAGTTCCACAAAGCAAGGATGATTAAAAGATAAAGGCATGAACATCATGAAATAAATCATAACTTATGTGCAAAAAGATATAAAACCCAACAAGTTACTAACTTTACTTCAGCCCAGCCCTAGTTCAGTGAGTCTTGGCTTTGATATATCTAACCTTCAAAATGTTTAGACAAGACAGTGGGACTTTCAAATGAGAAAAGGTATAAACAAGTTCATATTGGAAGATTAGAAATCTAGCAAGCAAAAAATTAAAGCAAGGCAGAAATATGTTTTTTATTTAATCTCACCAAATTCAAGACCGAGTTCCTCCAAAAGTTTGATCTACAAGGAACGATAGATGCAAAAAACATCAGACTACCACGTTTTTGTGGGTAGCATTTGGACTAATGAGTGGCGATCTTGATGCTGTGGCTCCAAACCGTGAAATCTAAACTCCAATGTTTTAGCGAATCTTCTAATTTATATAACGTGGGTTTCACAGAGCTATTATCATAGAATGAAGTTTAAGTCTAACGTCCATGGATTTAGAACGGGAGCCAAGAGGTTGCACCAAAACCATCTCTGGATGTAAATCGAGGTTTGACAGAAAGTATACATAGTTTAAGAACATTTTATAGATGACAACGCAGCAAGCGCAAATCACAATAGGGAAAACTTGTGAAAATAAAGTCCGCAATGAAAACAGGCACTGTCTCAAGTGAAGGATTTTTTTTAAGAAAATAAGAAATATTTTATATGTTAAGTTATATCTGAGAGTCACCACCGCTATGGATGCATGAAGGCATACGAGGCTGCCACCAAAAACAAATTAGAAGAAAGAACAGGACCAGCACATGAGATGAAAATCTAGTAAACCAATTAAGAATATATGAATACTAGATCAAAAATTTATGTTCGCATAATCGGCAGAGAGAAATTTAATTTAGTAATTTCCATTCGACCAACAGTCAATATGAAAATAAATCCCAAAGAAGCTGCCAACCCTCATTTCCTGCTTGTTTAATTCATTCGACAACTAGGGTATTTATTTCTCAATTGTCTAAAGATCATCAATGATAACATGAAAATGAGAAAACACCAAATTTTCAACATTCATAGCAGCAATCATACCTTCTGATTTCTGGGCAGTACTAGGATCATAATTCCCACTACTGAAAAACTCTGAAATGTCATCCAAAGTACCACCATACACCGCCAGCCTTGGATTCCTCGGTGCCACTCTACTATTCGAAACTGAGCTACCCACTTCACCATCCCTCAACTCCCAATACGCTTTGAATGATTCACATCCTCCTCCACCGCAAGAAAATTTGGATTATCTAGAACAACGGGGTTCAATTGGGCCAAATTATCATCCCTACGCTTAACATACTCCTCCAAACTCACATTCCCTATAGGCCTCAACCCTTGCTTCCTCTTCTCTACCCTACTACCAAACTCCAATTGCTGCGCAATTTTTCGCCTTTCTTTCTTCGTAATGTTGATCGCCGCCTGAGCTTCTTTCCAGTTCTCTGGAACCAAATTCTCAGGCTCAACTTCAATTTTAGATTTTCGGTTTTGGGTTTATCAATACTGGGTTCGAATGTTTCTTTGAGAAATGGGTCTTCAAAAATGCCTTCTTCGAAGACGAGGCAATCACCGATGATATGTTCTTCTTCTTCTTCTTCTTCATGGTCAGTGTACTGTTGGGGTTGGGAGTGAATTTAAAAGAGGAAGAGAGAGTTGTGAAGACTTTTCGTGAGAAAATTAGGGTTTTGGGAGGAGTGAGAACATGTTGGGATGAGAGAGAGAAAGGGGAGGTGGGGAAGAGAGATAGTAGTTTGGGGGTTTGGGGATTGAGTAGAGTAGTAGGTGGTGACATAGTCAGTCCTCTGTTTCTGCAGAGCGAGAACTGAGAAGAAGAAAAGGTGGTGATTGGGAGCTTTTATCTTGTAAAAGGCCAGTTAATGGTACTTGGGCCGTCAGTTTACTGAAAAGAAGCCCATTATGGTAGTCCAGGCCCATTCTAAATAAGCACCGAACAAGAGTCTATTTTTTAAGTCAATTTTTTAATTCACGTAATATCCCTCTTTTATAGTTGATTTAAGCTGGCATCAGCTCAAGCCCAGACTCGCCTTTGAATTATAATGACTAATGAGCCTCTAGAAGGAATTAAGAGTGATAATTTTTGACACGACACAACATCACGACTTTAATTTAGGTACAAAACTAATGAATTTGGATTGATTTTTTTTATACATAAATTCAAAAATAGCAAGACATACTAACACCAATAATAAACAGGTTATCTTGCAATCAAATAGGAATAACTCAAAATTAAAACGAGTATCATGTTTAACTAATATAATTACTATAGTATGAATAAAATGCCAGATTGCTATCATTTTTTGCTAAGTATTTACTTATATACTTGTAAAATAATGGATTTTTTTTCTTGTTTGTACTATTATATAGATTTGGTGAATATTTAGCTTATAGAAAAATTGGGTTTGGTTTGAGAGATAATAGGGTCCCAATTTTAAATTTTTATTCACAAGTTATATAAGTCAATCCAAAACAAATTTTTATTCACTATTTTTTATAAACAGGCCTGGTTAGTTTGAGAACATTTGACATGAATAAATAAATGAAATGAGTTAAAATCAACTAGTACCCGACATAAATATGAACTTATAGGACTCGAGAGAACACGTTCGACACAGTTGCCACTTCTAAGCTCTGGTGTGGGTGAATTCAAACCCCTTGGTAATACACTACCAGAATATTGATGAAAAATCAATTTATAGAGAATAAGTGTTCTGAAATCGACAATACAAGGTACACAAGAAGGAATCGAATGCTGGGCGGTGATACTGTAAGTAGAAGATTAAATAGTGAGAGGTTGGCCTAATTGTGTAAACCTTCGTGAAGAACTATAAACGGATGCTTAGTCTCTCATTCAAGCAGCTATCCACTTGAGAGGCTCCATTGGACAAAGATCTTGCGTTCCAAAATAAAAAACGACCTTTCCTAGCGATCAAGCAAAGCAAAAATCAGATGCTGGACTTGGAGCGATTGGCAATTCTCATACATGTTAGCGAGAAGTCACGAATTGAGTCCAAAACCAGTCTTTTCATAATAGAATAAGACTGCCTACCACTTAGTTTTATCGGATCTCTAACATGAAAAATATGATGCAAACATCGAATTTGTAAGCAGATACAATTGGGAGTTCCTTGGTACATTTGAGGATTTGTAAATGACAAATACAGTGCACACTGTTTTGTTTTTTAGCAGTCTTTAGTTGAACCTTGTACATTGTTACATACATATGGCGACTAGGCAAAAAAAAATATAGTCCAAGTCCATGGGCAGCAGCTAAAGCCTAGATGGGAGGCTGAAGAGTATAGCTCGATTACATGATCCGATTTCAATCCATCTCAAGTGAAAACTTTCAATATCTCCAACAACCAGAATTCTACAATACAGACCACCCCGATACCACAGTACTCGTGTCTGCAGACGAAGGCAGCCAGCCATCCATTCAGACAAATCCAAAGCCAAGGGACTTATTGCCCACAATCACAGGCGGAGAAGATCCTACAGGTTATACTCTGAACCAGAATGGCTTGAGCTGCACCGTGGCTCAGATGAGAAAGATGATATCATATGGGCTTCGCACCCTAATTGCCAAAATCCACTGAATTTTTTAGGTTTGATTGCAAAGGAATCCACGATAAATGAAATAACCCAGATCATCTGAGGCTTGTTTTTGGGTGAAGAAGAATCACACAATAGCATTTGGACGTATATCAAATAATCTAAAGGTGGAAAGTGAGTTTCTAAGGGTCACATGATCTAAAGAGTCGAACAATCCTCGTTCAGTCCAAAACACCACACAATCACATAGCAATAGAAAAGCCCACCATTAATTGTTTCAATTCACAAACTATAGTTTGAAACCTCAAGTGCCAGAGCACAATACTGTAAAAGAGA